CCTGCCTCTGCCTCCCGAGTGCTGGGATTAAAGGCGTGCACCACCGCCCAACTGTTACTCAGGTTTTGTGTATGTCGAAGCATTCTCTTTTTATGCAGCAAAAAGTTAGAAATCCTATATAGTTCATCAATAAGATCTGTAAATTGTTGGGACAGCCATTGTTGAAATGAGTAAGGTACCTTCCTACATTTGCAGACGGAGGTTCTAGGTGAACGCTAGTGAGAAACTTGGGGACATACTAGAGTGAAGCTGCTGCCCACCAGGCTGGCTGCCGTCCTTTCTCAGAACATCTAGCTGTGGGGTGTATTTCCTTCCCTAACTTTCTTTCACTCTTCAACTCTGTCCTATGGCGATCTTATTGCATATACATATAGAGAGAGCTTTTATAATTTCCTCGTTCTGCTACAACTGCCATATTTTATTGCCATAAAGTTTCGGATTGCTTTTATGTTTTGAGGCTCTAATTGCATTTTGGGAGCTACTTTACTAAATCTTTAGAGGTGATGACAGCATTTTAAGCAGGTTCTTCTCATTGACCAGTGTACAATATATTTATTATCTTTTTGAGACAGAGTCTCAGTATACATATAGCCCTGGCTGTCCCGGAAGTCCTGTCGACTCATCCATCCCCCTAACCATGTGGAGTTAAACATGTGCCCTGCTAAATCTAATAATAAATCATTTTAGTTTTGCTTTTCAGCATTTCTATCTTATTTCTTCCTCTGTTCCATTTGTCTTGTCTAAAGAGTAACTAACCACTAACCTAATATGACACTGTTTTAGTGCAGACAGAAAATAGTGTTCCCCCCACTAGGTGTGTGCCACGACGGGTGTAAAGTCAGGGGACAGTTTGTAGGACTTCACTCCTCACCTGGGTGCTGGAAATTAAACTCAAGTCATCAGCTTAGTGATGAGTGCCCTTAACGCACTGAGTCATCTCGCCTGCCCTAGACAGGGAATCTTCATTCAAGTTGGTATCTTGATTAAAGTGGGCATCTATCTTTGTTGAAAAATCACCTAGAAGTGGCATGCTTGGAGGTGTGTGTGTGTGTGTGTGTGTGTGTGTGTGTGTGTGTGTGTGTGTGTGTGTTTCAAACTGAGTGTTGAACCTGGGGAGAGCTTCCTGCATGCTGCACATATCACCTTGCACTGACTTCAGTCCATAGCCACATGGGTGTCTTAAAGCTGCGTCTTTCACCGCATCACCCCATAGTATATGGACAACACTGAAATGAGATGTGATGTCCCTCCCTGTTAAATGGAAGAGTTTGAAAACCATTGATACAGGTCAGGCAGAACTAACCAGGTATGATGAGGAGGGAAGATGCCGGAATTAGATTTTAGAACATTCTTTTTGATCTTTGATAACAAATTGGAGGCAGCCTTGAAGAACTTGAGGGAGGATCCAGTTTCAAAGAACTGTTACAGAGATTATAAGACATAGAACTGAGTGGATTTTAATATAGATGATTCAAGGAATACATAGGGAAGCAGAAATGACAGTTCTAGTAAGTGATTGGACAAACTGCTGGAGAAAATGATTTTTCTCTGATACTACTTACTGGTGAAATATAAACTTCTCAAAGAATCTAAGATTCCATTATTCCTTTTCTCCATGCTAGGAAGACAAGAGTAGCTAGCTGTTGGCTGCTAAAACATGAAAATGAGTATCTAGTTGCTATATGTAGGTATTGGTGGTGTTGTAATGCCTTTTCAATTTCTGTGTCTGTGTTCTTTAGGATTAATTCAAAGGGCAGCCTTGTGGATGGCCCCGAAGCAAGCCTGATGGAACAGGACAGAACCACCCATCCTGAGGGTAACAGACTGAGTCCATTCCTGATACCATCACCTTCTCCCGGATGCCAGACAGAACCTCAACTCCAGATTGGAAGCCTGTTAGCAGAGAGACATCATCCAGAAGAAGTAAATGCAGACATCAAGTGGCAGTCTTCTGAAAGCTATTACGGAATACCCCCCATGAAAGGCAACCAGAGCAGTTGTGAGAGTCCAGACACCATAAATGAAGGCAGAGGGTATTCCAGGTGCTTGCAAAATCAAGGGATAAAACGCACTGTCAGTGAACCATCTCTCTCTGGGCTCCATCTGGACAAGAAATTGAAACTAGACCAAAAAGCTAAGGGAGAAGGTAATAACTTCGGGGAAAGCAAAGAGAGAAACCCAGGTGAAAGCAGCCATCAGCCAAATGTCTCCAGTCTGAGCGAGAACAGAGAAGCTGTGCCCTCTGTAGCCCAGGAAAGTGCAGATACAGCCATCGATAGTGCCCCGACTTGTAACTGCAATGGAGTTGAAAACACAGAGTTGTGGATTCTCAAGAATCAGGAAGGGGAAAATGGCAGGAACATTTTACTTAAAAACAAGGCTGTGCTAATGCCTAATGGTGCTACAGTTTCTGCCCCTTCTGTGGAAAACACACACGGTGAACTCCTGGAAGAAACAGCATCTCAGTGTTGTCCAGATTGTGTTTCCATTACAGTGCAGAATACCACATCTCATGTAAATGCCCTGACCAGTCGGGCTACTAATGAGTTGTCTAGTGAGATCACTCAACCATCGCATACCTCAGAGCAGATCAATTCCCCACAGACCTCAAGCTCCCAGCTGCCTCTGGAGCCAGCTGCCATGGTGACTGAGGCCTGTGATGCTGATACTACCAGCAAACCAGCTGGAGTGCTAGGTACCTGTCCCTTCCAGAAACCAGAACACCAACAAAAATCAGTTTTGGAGATAGGTCCATCTCCTGCGGAAAGCAAAAACATCCAAGGAAACATGAAGCTATTTGCTGAAGAATTCTGTTCCAGTTCCAACAGTGGTTTGCAAGCTTCTCATGGCAGCTCTGAACAGTATTTAAAGCAAAAGGAAATCAATGGTGCTTACTTCAGGCAAAGCTCAGTGTTCACTAAAGATTCCACTTCTGCCACTACCATGACTCCACCATTACGATTGCTTCTTTCTCCGCCTCCCGTCGTTCTTCAGCTTCCTTCAGAAGGAAAAGGCACTCTGAATGACGGGACTTTGGAAGAAGAACACCACCACCCCTTAAGTAATGCACCTCTCTTAAGGGAAGGGAAAATAGAACATCAACCTAAGGCGTCATCATCTTGCCAGAGTCCGAATCCCTCTGTGCATACATCCAACCCCTCATTGATGCTTCCAGAAGGGCATCAGAATAATGGTGTCTCAGTGCGCTCTGAACAGACAAGAACAATGTCAGAACATCTCAAGTATTACCCACCAAATCATGGCCACAGTGGAGACTTACAAGAGCACAACCTGCATCCGATGGGACACAGGGAACGAGAGATTCTGAAGGATGAAAACAGGGAACAAACCCAAGATTCAGTGCTGGCAGCCCAGCGCTATCTGAAACCTGGATGGATTGAACTGAAGACCTCTCGTTTTCTTGAAGTGCACCACAAAAATATAAGTCAACCACAAAAATATAAGGATGCAATGTTTCAATCAGTCCTTCGTTATCAGGCCAGCCCTTCCAATCAGATGTCCTCTAAACAGTGCACTAGAAATTTAAACATGCCAGGAGGATTTGCAAATCAACCTTACATCCAGAAAACTGCTCAGCCAGAGCAGAAGTCACAAATGTACCAAGTGGAGATGAATCAAGGACATTCTCCTGGTATGGGGGACCAACATCTACAGTTCCAGCCAGCTTCATACCAGGAGTGCATCTCCAAGGCAGACCCCTCTCCTGGCGCTCACGTGCTGGCCCCAAGTGCTCCTCTCTTTCATTTCCAGCAAAGAGCAAATCCCTCCAGTGATGAGCACTTGAATCAACAGGCCACAGAGACCGAACCATTTTCAAACTTTTTACAGCCTAAGCCTCATAAGCAGGCAGCACAAACACAAGCATCCCAGAACTCAAATCTCCCTCAAAGCTGCCAGCAGCAGCAGCAATTACAGAGGAAGACTGAAGAACAGATGCCTCAGACTTTCTCTCACCTCCAAGGTAGCAGTGATAAGCACAGAGAAACATCATGCACCAGCCAGATTAAAGTGGAAGAATGCTATAGTACTGAAAACCAGTATTCAAAATCAAGTAATTTCCAGACTCATAACAACACCCAAGGGGGGGTGGAGCAAGTACAGAATATGAGTAGTAAAAGTTCTCCTTATGTGAAGACCTTAAAATCAAATATAAGCAAGTTACAGACTCCCTGTTCAAACGATACACACCCAGTTCCTGAACATCCTGGACTCTTTGCAGGAAATAAGACCCCAAACCTGCAAAACATGCAATACTTTCCAAATGATGTGACCCCAAATCAGGACATTCATCACAGGTGCTTTCCAGAACAAGAACAGAAGCCTCCACAAACCCTGGCTCTGCAGGGATTTCAAGGCAAAAGCCAAGAGACAGAGAGAGCAAAGCTAGCTGAACTTGCTCAGCAGAGGTACTTGGTGCATTATCAAGCAAAGGCACTCCCTGTGCCCAAGCAAGGAGGGAGTCAGATGCAGATCCCTCCTCAGAGGGACATTCAGAAGCATGCTGCCCTAAGATTTCTCCTCTTACAGAAGCAAGAACAGCAACAAACGCAGCAATCCCAGGCTGACTCTTGTCCCCCTAATCAGATGCACAGGCCAATCAAGACTGAGCCTGGATCCAAACCCTCTTCCTGTAAACGCCCCGTGTCCGCACCCGAAGAAAAAATACCCAATAGGATAAAGCTAGAGACTTCCCCACCACGCTGTGATCATGGGGTGCCCAAGAGCATCCTTGAGACGATGGAGCAGCATCTGAAGCAGTTTCAGCTCCACTCATTGTTTGACAATGCGTCCCTGACTCTGACTCTCAAACCACAAAAACAAATCAAAGGAGAGACACCATCCACCATCACAGTTTGTCGGACCAAAACCGAAGCTGCAGAATCTGAGACCCATACCCCAGCTACAGATGAGACGCCAACCAAAAGAACCGTTGGTAACACTCTCAACAATCTTTCAGAAGTACCTATCAAGACTCAATATGATTTCCCATCATGCAGATGTGTAGGTAAGTGCCAGTAATATACTGAGGCACACGGTGTCTTCCAGAACTAGCTAATTATCTTCATATTTGAGAGTTTCTTCCTGCTGAAAGCTGGAGTCTGTCTGGGAGCCAATTGTAAAGGCTCATAAAAACTCGTTTTTGTCTTCACAGACATTTGTGTCATGCAAAGCAAAAACTTCACTTGAATCCAACCCCCAACGCCCAAAATACCCACTGAATATGTTCATTTTCCCCTCTAATCATCAGATCTTAAAAGCATAAATGTATTTTAGATCGTTTTTAACAATTTGTTTGTATATGTTAGAATTTTGTCTGCACATCAGAAGAGGGCATTGGATCCCATAGGACTGCAGTTCTGAGCCACCATGGGGTACTGGGAATTCAAACTGCTTGATCCGTCTCTCCAGCCCTAGATCTTGTTTTGTTTGGGTTTTGAGATGGGGTCTCCGAGCCCTCTCTGTCTTGTAAGTCACTGCTTAGATCAGCTGGCCCACCTCTGCCTCCCGAGTGCTGGGATTCCATGCGTGTATCGCCATGCCCAGCCTTGATCTATTTATTTTGACTCTTGTCTCTTAGGGGAGGCATATAGGCAGGAAAATTTGTTAACAGGAAAAACAACTACTTCCTCCAACTCATGGAGCTTTTTAAACAACAAAACAGTGCCATAAAACCATGTTTATAAAGTTAAAGATTAGTAGATTTCTGGGAATTGAAGAGGTTACTATCTTTAATCTTGAAAAGTTGGAAAATTGCAGTACCAAAGTTCTGAGTACTTAGTTACAAGGCTTTAAGTACTTAGTTAGCCCTTAGTGCTAAAGCATTGAGTACGTGCAGAAGCTCCCTTAGAAGCACTTAGTCCCTTCTCACTTAACAGTCTGTATTGGTTTGTGTTCCTTTTTGTGGGTTTCTTTTATTTTTTTATAGAAATGGTATTTTTTTTTTTCTGAGACAGGGTTTCCCTGTGTAGCTTTGGTGCCTTTCCTGGAACTCACTTAGTAGCCCAGGCTGGCTTCGAACTCACAGAGATCCGCCTGGCTCTGTCTCCCAAGTGCTGGGATTAAAGGTATGCGCCACCACCGCCCAGCCATAAATGGTATTTTTTAAACATGCCTTTTGTTAAGTTTGTGTTGTGTAATAGCTGTGCAGCTGGAAGACATCAATAGTACCTGCTCCCCACAGGTATAGCTGAAGACATTAGAAGAACCGGGTACATTACTGTCTAGTGCCCCCCCCACCATGTTGTACACAATGTACTGTGCGTCTACTTGGTAGGCTGGTGGGAGGAGGTCTTTCTGCCCTGTGTGTGGCTAATAAGTTGCCTCACAGAGCTAACATGTAACAAATGTCATAGCACCAACTTCTCACATTTACTCTTACAACTGGCCCTTTTACTGGACTCTCGAGGATTCCCTCGTAAAGTAATAACTTTAGAGCAGTGAAACTAGTTCTCATTAAATGTTCAGGGGAAATAGGAGTAGAATAAATGGACTCAACAAGTTGACTAATCTGGAGTGGAAGAGGACAAGATTTTGCAGTTTTCAAATGACAAGCATGATTCATGTTGGATTTTTTTTTTCTATTTAGAAAACTTATGTTGTAGTTTATTACATATTTTAATTCCTTTATTTTTATTTGGTTCCATATACTTGATTTAAAATAATTTCTTATGCTATGTCTGAAATGTACTGATAAGTTGTCAGTAGCCATTGTGTATGTATTACTTGGCACATTTTCTAATAGATCAAGCCACCAATGTACTCTAATTTAAAGGAAAAAGAATGAAAGTTACTTAGGGCCATTAATGTGCAGCTGGGGGATAATCTTTGGATGTAGCCTTAATACTTAGTATAATTGAGGTCTAAAATAATAATCTTCTATTATCTCAACAGAACAAATTATTGAAAAAGATGAAGGTCCTTTTTATACCCATGTAGCAGCTGGTCCTAATGTGGCAGCTATTAGAACAATCATGGAAGAAAGGTAATTAACTCAAAGGCACAGGGCAGATTAACGTTTATCCTTTGTATACAGCAGTTTTTCCAGTTCCCCCACACAGAGCAGTAAACAATTGTAAATCAAGTAATTATCAGTAGGCTCAGCTATTCCAGGGTTGCCAACCCAACACACTGCTATTCACTACAGAGTCACAATATTTGACAGGACAAATAGTTGCTTAGCTGGCACAGGCTGCCCATTTGGAAATGGATGCTGGAAAACCCAGGCACAAACAAAAATCATCCAGCCAACCTGCCAGGCATGAGAGGGCTGGCGCAGGCTATAAAGGGGCCTCACTCGAGCCTTCTCCTGCCACGTGGTGATGTGTCCAAGAAATAAAAAGGGGAAGGCAGTTGGGATCGTTGATTTAGGTCTCAGCTTTGCAAATGAGTTCTTTCGCTTACAGAAGAAAGCAAGAGTGAAAGGTTAACTAAGAGACTCCATTTGCTTTTCAAAACTGTCAGTCCAAGGTATCTACACTTAATTCCTTTATGTCAAAGACTCAGAAGGCCTTTCTTATAGATAAAGCTCCAAGCTGTTTTCTGTCTTGCTCTTAAGAAGCAGACATGTATTCAAGCGTATTTTCATATATGTGGGCAGCACACACAGTATCATTCTTGCATTCTTCTGTGGATTATGCACTTGTAATTTATTATGTAGAAATCCACCTGTAATCCTACACCCTGGTAGAGGTAGTGAATTTCTCTTAAACAGCATCTCGACTACAGGGAATACAATCTATTTCTAGAGTTCTGACTTTTAAAAATAGCGGGATACTTTTGGCCGGATTTCTTTAGAAATACAAGATTTCTAAAAACTTATTTCACCAAGTTGTAAGATAAATTTAGTAAAGGGTGATAATCAAATGGTATATGGTTTCAAAAATTGAATTGAGCAAACTAACTTATTTTGTACTTTATATAGAAAGATAGCTTTCCCAGTATTTTTTACTCAACATATAATTACAGAGTAACTAATTTTGGTATATTTAGATGTTGAAGAAAAGACTTGAGACTTAACCCATTACTTGGCTTATAGCAACTTTTAAATAAAATAATGAATGTTTATTTAATGAGTTAAACCCCTAACTTTGATTGCCTCTTGAAGTAGTCTACTAATTATGTGTTTGTGTGTGTATGTGTGTGTGTGTGTTTCTTTAAGGTTTGGAGAGAAGGGTAAAGCTATTAGGATTGAAAAAGTCATCTATACTGGTAAAGAAGGCAAAAGTTCTCAGGGATGTCCTATTGCTAAATGGGTAAGTGTGACATGTCAGTGCTCTTGCTATTCAGTCTTGATCATTTTGATTCATCTAACCTCAAGAATTGGCTCGCCCAAGCCAAAGAGTATTGCCAGTTGGAATGAACATCCTGTGTGTCATTTTGTATTTTTTTTTTATAATTTATTTAACTTTATTTTATGTGCATTGGTGTGAGGGTGTCAGATGCCCTGGAACTAGAGTTACAGACAGTTGTAAGCTGTCATATGGGTGCTGGGAATTGAACCCGGGTCCTCTGGAAGAGCAGCCAGTGCTCTTAACCTCTGAGCCATTTCTCCAGCCCGTCATCTTGTATTCTTTTTTTTTTTTTTTTTTGGTTTTTTCGAGACAGGGTTTCTCTGCGTAGCTTTGCGCCTTTCCTGGAGCTCACTTGGTAGCCCAGGCTGGCCTCGAACTCACAGAGATCCGCCTGGCTCTGCCTCCCGAGTGCTGGGATTAAAGGCGTGCGCCACCACCGCCCGGCCATCTTGTATTCTTAATGTAGTGTAGTTCTAAAATCATGAACAAACCATTAAATTGAAATAATTTAGTAGTTGAGGTCTAGAGCAGTGGTTCTCAACCTGCATAGGTTGAGAGCCTTGGGGGGCAGGGGTCAAACAACTCTTTTACAGGAGCCACCTAAGACCATCAGAAAACATATCTATTACATTATGACTCATAACAGCAAAATTGCACTCATGAAGTAGCAAAAAAATAATTATGATTGGGTGAGGGTCATCACAACATGAGGAACTGTATCAAAGGGTCATAGCCTTAGCAAGATTAAGAAGCACTGGTCTAAATCATAGTCCTTAGATTGTGAAGAAACAGTCCTTAATCCTTTAAGCACCAGGTTATTTATAATGCCACTTAATGAAAACCTCAACTAAGACCTTACATGTCTTTTCTGTAGTTCTTGCTACAAGAGTAGCATTTAATTGCCCCAGTATATCAGGCCTCTAGCCATTGAGGAGTAATTTTGTACTATATCTTTTTGTGGTAGTTGATTTGGTGCTTGCTGTATACCTGGGCAGATGGTGATAATTTTGATCAAGACATGAAAAAATATGCACATGCAAGTGGATACTTGTTGGAACCAACTGACCTTGGTTCTGTTTTGGGTGGGGTGGGACTGTTTGGGTGGGCTATGGATTCACACAGGTGCTTCGAAGAATGACCGTGGAGGAGAAGCTGATGTGCTTGGTTCGAGAGCGAGCTGGCCACACCTGTGAGGCTGCTGTGATTGTGATTCTCATCGCGATATGGGATGGAATCCCAAGGAGTCTGGCTGACCAACTCTACACAGATTGTTCAGAGATCCTGAGTAAACACGGTGCACCCACTAGTCGGCGCTGTGCCCTGAATGAAGAGTAAGTGGAGCTAAGACCTTTCCTACCCTCCAGGGATATAGTTGTGTTTCAAGCAGGACTTGAAATTGTCTATTGACATAAAGTGAGGTCACTTGCTTTATTTATTTCAAAATGAATAATTCATAGTGATTTTTAGGAATATTCTGTCTACTTAGACCATAAGTCATTACTCAGCAGCAGTTTCTGGTAATATCTAAGTGTCTGCACCCATATGACTTTAGGTAGAATTAGTTTTACCCTAATTTCTATTTTAGTTCTCATGTCATAATTTGGCACTCCTTATCAATGTGACTACCACTTAAAGATTTGTAAGAAGTTCTGTAGAAATTGAAATCATTTTTCTATGTAATCTAGTTCATCACTTCTGTAGTATAAATTGGCTTCCCCTTTCAATACTGTTCCATATGTCACTGCTGTGTATTTGTTGTTACTGTTGTTGGTTTAACTTGGTCCCGTCTGCATGAAGCCAAAGCATTTTCTCCGATGTTTTCTCTGTTCCTCTTTGGTGAATTTCCGCATGATGCTGAAGTATAGGAAGGCTCTCCTGCTACATTTTCTCACAGTTGGCTGAAAAATCATTTAAGTTTTTTCAAATATACCTAATCCTAACTACAGAATCATTTGGGATTACAGAAGGATATGCCCATGTTTACCAATCCCATTGCTAATTGTTTATTATGGTTTCTCAGACTTGGTTGTATATCACTGAGCCATGGCTGATTTAAGAATTTACTCCTCCAATTCAAAACTGACTTGATTTTGATAGGTTTGATCACAAAGTCTTTGACTGCCCTCAGTTCAGTTTCTGTCACATGACTTGTAAATTTCTGTTGAACTGCTTCAGATGGAAAATACTGTTCAGTCTATCGGATTATTTTGTGAAGTGAAGGCGTGTTGGGCACACTTGCTGAGGAATTACTATTCTTACACCAAAACAGTGGCTTCAGATTCTCAACTGTTGAAGAATTTAGGAAATGATTTAGGGAAGGATACTTACTTGCACATTCACACTTACTGTTTGTTGCTTTATGCCTAGTAGCCAGGAAATACAGCTAACATAGATAGATATCTACCAACAGATAAATAATAGCGCAGTGGTGACACGCCTTTAATCCCAGCACTCAGGAGGCAGAAAGAAGCAGGCAGATCTCTGAGTTCTTGGCCAGCCTGGTCTACAAAGCGAGTTCCAAGAAAGGCGCAAAGCTACACGGAGAAACCCTGTCTTGGAAAACAAAACAAAAAACAAAAGAAAAAGAAAAAATGTGATGCATGCACATAATCAATTTCTACCCATAGGGAAAGGAAATTATTTTCAGGAAAACAAGTGGAACTAAAGATGATTATGTAAACCAGTCTAAAACATTATACCAAGAGTGTCATGACCATGGCATGATAGTTCTCTTGAGTTTTTTGGGCATAGGTTCACATTCTCACCTTCCCACATTATCAACATTGATCTCATATATTTCCTTGAAAATTTTCTGACTTGAGTGATGTGGAATCAATCTCAAAACAGTTTTAATGTGTGTGCATTTCCCTGATGTTTTACTTAATATGTTCAAATATTTTGTTGGTTCATGTATACTTCCCGTCTCTTCAGTGCTAGCCTGCTTATTTATTGAATGAGAGTTTGGTTTTTAGTATTTAGTTTTTGCAGTTCTTTAAATATCCTATATTTGATCCCTGTCTTGAGCCATATAATCTCACTATCATTAAGATTACCTCAGGTGAGGCTTATTGATCATTGTCAACTTGACGGGCTCTAGAATCACCTTGGAGATATTTCTGGGCATGCCTGAGGGATTTTCTATAGATAGGGTTAATTGAGGTAGGTAGACCCACTATACTGTGGGCAGTACCCTTCCTGGCTGGGGTCCAAGACTTCAAACAAGAGCATTTGTCCTTCGCCAATGCCTTACTTTTATCCATATTGAAAAGAATTTTCTTCTGCAGCATGTGGATATTTCCCCAGAACCATTTATTCAGGCAGCAGTTCTTAAATTTGAATGTTGATAACCTTTATAAAATCGGGGCTGTAGCTCTATTCTTAATCCACTGGTCTAAATGTCTGTTTTTGTATGAGTACCATGCTGATTTGTTGCTATGACTCTGTAGCATGGTTTGAGATCAGGTATTATGATACTTACAACATTGCTGGCTTCTGTTTAGGATTATTTTGACTATTTGGAACTTTTATGCTTCCATGTGAATATTGGGAACCAAATCATTTTTCTTAGGGTGTGAAGAATGTAATTTGAGATCTGGTGATTGCTTTGACTCTAGATCATTTTCATTAATATAGCCAATTATTGATTATGCCAATGCATGAGTATAGCTCCAGTTTCTTGATTGTCTTGAACTTTCACCTCTTTGGTTAGTTTTATTCATTTGTATTTTTTATACTTGATTTGAAACTATTGTGAATAGGAGTTCTATTTCATTTTTGTCAAGTTCATTTTTGGTATATAAAGAAGCTGAGGAGATTTCTTTGCCATCTTTATTTATTTATTTAGTAATTATCTGTGTGGATGTGTTCATGCAATTGCTAGTACCCACAGAGGCCAGAGGACTTGGATACCTCTGGAGCCTGAGTTATATAGGTAATTGTGGGTGATAGGAACTAAACCTGTACTGCTATTTCCAAAATCCACTGCTGGATTTTATTTTATTTTATTTTTATTTTGTGCTTTCCTGAAAAGACTGAGCATTGACTTAAAAAAGAAGAGTGATAATGAATAATCTTGCCTCACTCCTGATTTGAGGAAATGGTCCCCATATAGCATATGTTGACTGTGGCTTTACTTTGTACTCTTTATTATTGTGTTTGACATGGGTTCCTTCTATCCCTAGTTTCATTAGAACGTCTCATGAAGGAATGCTGAACTTTGTCAAAGGCTTTTTGTATGTCTGTTGAAGATCATGTGATGTCTGAAGTTATTTGTGCATTGATAGGATAAAACCAACTCTACCAGGGTGTATGATCTTAATGTATTCTTAAATATGCAAAACTTTATCCATCTGTGTTCATCAGTTACATTAGATCAATAGTTTTGTTCTGTCTTTAAATTGTAGAATGAGTTCCTTCCCCTCCTTATCAAAATTTGTGTATCTAACAATACATTTATAAATAATGCACCAAGTGCATTTTAATTGAGCATGACAAAGAATAATAATAAATAATATTAAATAATCATATAATAATAATAATAAGTTTGGAACAATAAAATGAGAAAATTGAAGTGGACAAACAATACATGGAAACAAATGTCTTTGACACACAATTACATAAAATCTAGGTATACTCGGTCAAAAAAACTAAAAGGTAGAAATAATTCTCGCCGGGCGGTGGTGGTGCACGCCTTTAATCCCAGCACTTGGGAGGCAGAGGCAGGTGGATCTCTGAGTTCGAGGCCAGCCTGGGCTACTGAGTGAGTTCCAGGAAAGG